AGAAAATTTCGGTGCCTGATTTCGGTGCCTAACTTCATTAGGCACACACGCGCACACACACACACGCAAGGTCTCTCGCTCTCTCTCTCTCCGCCGTGCGTGTGCTACACAGTTTGGAGCACAGTTTCTTCTGTCTCGCATGCGCGCTCTTTCTCGCAAGGTTTGGCTGCATTTCACGTGTAAAATTACGTGTCAGAACGCCCTCTGGGTGTGCCGATAGTCTGAATCCCATATAGAATCAAGCCAATTCATTGGCTGATGGCGCCGCATCGACGCACTTACGTCGTCATACTATGTTGGCGCGCGCGCGCCATCTGCTCCTCAGATTTCTCTGCCGAAAAAGGAAGCTGGTCGACAGCGCGAGGAGCTTGGCTGCGTCCCGTTCCCTATTGAGAGATATGTTACACCAACCAGAGATGTTCTCTTTCATAGGTTCACTCACCGCTGCGTAGCGAAGAAGCAGTGGATTTGTATTTGTAGGCTGCTGTATCACGTGCCGTTTGAACTGACGCGCTACAGCGATCTGTCACATTTCAAAGAGCCAAAACGTTATTTATTGTGTGAATCTCGTAAAAATATTGACAGAATCTGACAGCTGTGGATTTGTTCCATATCAAAAGTAACCTTCTCTGTCTTGTCTGTCAGTGTCCTCTTTGTCCGCGATTTTTCTGTGTGAAAAGGGTCATTTGCGTGAGTCTCACGGTCAATGCGTGAGAGTTGGCAGCTCTGCCTGCTAGTAATCTCTATTAATCTCCAGTATTATTACATTGTTTGATACAATATTGTTTCATTTGATATTATGTAAATATGAATTTTTATTTTATATTGGATTTATTATTACCATATGTTACTTGTATTTATATTGTTTAAAGATTTAAGTTAATATTGTGTCCAGTTTGGCCCTGTAAATTAAAGGGTATTAGTTTTTGATAAAGTGTGTGCGGTTTCATTTTCTTAAGTACCGATTTAAGAACCGTTTAAGCACCGGAACCGTTTAAAAAATACCGAGTAGGTACTGGAATCGGATAAAACCCAAACGATACCCAACCCTACCATTGTGTATGAAATGTGCTAATAAACTTGCCTTGCCTAATTAAACATTCTGGGCATCAAGAGCCAAAATGCAAAAAATGCTAAATGCAAACAATTTTTTTATAAATGTATTGCAGCACATTTTGTAATGGGAGCTAAATATAGTTATAATACTGAATAGGAAGGTCTCTGGCAATTCTCAGCCCTACTAAACAATGACTGTAAAATAAAGGCCCTGATATGCTCACGGCAAAGTTCTTTTTAGTTCTTTACTTAGGAGTAAAATAATTGTGATATACGCTTACCTGAATTGCTCTGCCGCTCGCTGAGATGTAAGCCTCCACAGTGGTAGTGTAATCTCCTCCTGCAAACTTCTCCTTCTCTGTTTTCCTGCCCTTGACCACAGGGATGGCCATCAGCTCCTCGTACACCCGAGTATACAGGTCCAAAATCTGCAACACCTGCACACATGATGGTTAAAAGAGTGGGAGGTTCAGAAACATGCTACAATTATTTCAGGATCAGCATGTAAATATTAAATTGTGAGTGAGGTGTGACTGATCACATTTAACCAACCTCCTCTGCAGCTTCCTCTTTGGTGGCAAACGCTGTGTGTCCCTCCTGCCAAAGAAACTCTCTGGTTCTCAGGAAGGGCTGTGGGTGTTTAAACTCCCAACGCTGAGAACAGCAAGAAACTGAATAAATACACAGGCCTTTAATTGAGATGTGTTTGTAAAAGTGTATGACTGAGGCTGAAACTGACCACAACACTGCACCACTGGTTGAGTTTGATGGGCAGATCTCTGTGTGACTGGACCCACTTGGCATAGGCGGGATACATCACTGCATCAATGTAAGAAGAATGCAAATGTATTAAAAAGATAATACAAACATAAGAATCCAGTCCATTTCAGATACAGCTGCAGTTGCTTACCTGTCTCACTAGTGGGACGTATAGCGATGGGCTCCGCCAGCTCTGTCTTTCCTGATCTTGTCACCCAAGCAACCTAAAGACATTTGCAGATAAAAAGCACAAATCTTTGAGTGGCTATTTATACATATTTATTATCCACACACTGAAAAGCCCCAAATACAATCCACCATAACATGATCTTGTTCCAATCATCCATTATTATAATTTTAAAAATATGCACTTATTTGATTAAAAACACAATTTAAAAGAAAATAATTGAAAATAACTTTTTGCTATCTTAATATATTTTAAAATGTAATTTATTTCTGTGATGGTAAAGCTAAATTTCAAGCAGCCATTACTCAAGTCTTCAGTGTCACATTCTAATTATAATATGCTGACTTAATTCTCAAGTAAAATTTCGTATTATTTTTATTTTTAGGGGGTAGTCGTGGCCTAATGTTTAGAGTCAGACTGGTAACTCGAAGGTTGTGAATTAAATTCTCAATACCGGCAGGATATGACTGAGGTGACTTTGAGCAAGGCACCTTACCCCCAATCGCTCCCTGGGCGCTAGGGCTGTAACGATACACCAAACCCACGATTCGATTCGTATCATGATTTTGGACCCACGATTCGATTCGTATCGCGATTCTATCACGGGGGCGGGGCTTGTGGTGAAAAAAAGAGATTTTGAGAGAAGAAAAAAAAATACCGGTATTTTTATTAAATAACATTAGGAAAAACCTGTATAATCTAAACACCAAAGAACAATAATAACTATGCAAATTATTATACTATACTAGGCAGTGTAGGCTGCTGCTTTTGGGCTGTGTTCTGTACTCCAACTAAATTGATTTCGGGATGGTGCCGTAGGATATGCATCTGCATGTTGGACGTGTTGCCGGTCAATTGAGGATTAATTTAATGCACTTTCTGAGAATATATATTTCAAGTTTTGGCTGCAAATTTCACGTCCATAATGCTGAAATTGCCAAATTGTAAATAATTTATCCTCAACTAGTTTTGTGGTGTAGGTCTACGTAGGCTATTTTATAATTTTAACTTCAAATAATACTAATAGTAATTTAAAGATGTGGTAGTTCTCATGAGCCTGGGGGGGGGGGGGGGGGGGATAAATTATTACATTTATCTTGCCTAAATGTTTGCGCTCATTGCATTTTTACAATTGGGTAATATTGTTAAGAATTTACACATCACAAGGAAGCTTGATTTAAATTTTTTAATTAAATTGAAAAAAGTAGCACAAATAAATACAATAGAATAAAGATACAAATAAAGACAATTAAAGAGAAAAGTTTTTGAATAGGTCTAACACTAGTATTCATATACAGAAACTGAATAAAGTAATCAAATGGAAAATAACACTGGGTAGTATTTTAGTCCTGAATAAATTAAATACATAGGCTATTAATCCTGATTCCTTTAACTTAAAGCCATCTTTTGTTGTTTTGACAACAAAATTAATGACAGACACATATGGCTGCCGTCACTTTAAGAGCTAGTGCACGGATCCTGTGTTCATTATACTGGCATGCGTTTTATGCTTATTAAAGACAAAACCGACTATATTTAGAGTATAGCCTACTCACAAAGACCGAAATTGACAATTTTGCGTGTTAAAGCAATATAATTCGCGAAAAATAGTTACTAGCCAGCTGTTTTTGAGGCAGATTTTCTATGAATGTGCGCATAGAAAATAATCTCAGAGAGCGCGCGAGCACTGATTAGTTTAAAATCGCTTGAATGTTCAAACTGGTAAGACTTAAAAAGACTTCAGTCACGATCCACTGCTGGCCCGATTGTGCAAGTGAATATTCCGTCATGTCCCGACCTTACAGTCTATGGTCCCGACTCCACAACGCGAGTGTGTATTATCGCCGCAGCGCTTGATGCCTGCCTTGCACAAAACATTATGAGAAAAGATAGAAGACGCGCGGCACCGCTGAACACTCACGCTGTTTGTGAAATTGCGTCTGGAAGATAGTTGTTAAAAGAATGATTTGATTTTATTATCTGTGTGGATTACGATTGCGGGAATTTCCCGCATTATAAATGGGAGACCTGCGGGAATGATTAGAATTATGCGCAATACCCGCAATCCCGCGCCGAAATTCGAGCCCTGGTTCTGGACAGGAAGTTGGAAGGGGTGTGATCGTGATTCTGCCTTCTCACATCGCGATACAGGATCGTGGACCTGAGTATCGCGATTTCGATTTTATATCGCGTATCGTTACAGCCCTACTGGGCGCCACAGCAAAAATGGCTGCCCACTGCTCCGGGTGTGTGTCCACAGTTTGCAGTGTGTGTGTGTGTTTGTGTTCACTACTCACTACTCCTAATGTGTGTGCACTAACTTGGATGGGTTAAATGCAGAGGACAAATTCCGAGTATGGGTTACCATAGTTGGCCTTCACGTGTCACTTGAATGTTGAAAACAGTTGTGGTTCTTAATATTTTTGTGGAAAAAGTGATAGATTATCCATTATAAATGTCTTTACTGTGACTCGAACTATTTAATGCATCCTTGCTGAAAAAAAGTATTAACTGACCCTAAGCTCCAAATGTTACATTCTTTCCAGCTTCTCACCTCTGGAGCAAAATCTGCAATGTGGGTTTTCTCTTTCTCAAGGGCAGCTTGAGAGATAAACATGGGGAAGTAGCAGTTCTCCACACCCATCTTCCTGATCTCCCGATCAAAGAAATCTTTGATGGCATCCCAGATAGCATAAGACCAGGGCCTCAACACGTAACAACCGCTGACATCGTAGTATTCAATCATCTCTGCCTTAATGATCACCTGAAAACAGCAAATACAAAAAATTTTCAACAGCTGAATAATAAGAACTTTGTAAAGATAGTTTACAAAATCATGTGAGCACAGTCTACCTGTGAGTACCAATCAGCCAAGTTTTCCTCTTTCTTTGCCTCCAGTCCCAGCCTACATTTAAGAAACACAAAATAAGTGAGTGAATCTATAGATACTGCTAGCAAATGGAAAATTTCCTTAATACATAACTGAATAGCCTTTAGTAAAGTGTCCATAAACACAGGTTGTAGTCTGAAAAAGTAATTCAGACAAAAGAGACTGTATTCTGGGTTTAGTCTTGGAGGACAAAACCAGTTGTGGCAGTACTAAAACAACTGCAGAACTTTCTCAAGCCTCCGTTTAAGAATTTATCCATGTCTCAAGGAAATAAATAAAGGGCATTTGACACTGTACGGATTACTTCGCGTTTTTGCCTCTCACCGTGTCTGTTTCTTTGGCCCCTGGCCTTCTCCTGCTCCACCTGCTCCAGAGTCTTGACCTTGTTGAGGTTTCTCTCCTCCCTTCTGCTGCTTACGTCCTCCTCCTCCTCCTCCACCCTGCTTCTCAGATTTGTTCTCCCGCTCCTTGCGGTTCTTGTCTTCCCCCCCTGTGTTCCCAGAGCCTCCTGGGGTAGTCACAGGCTTGTATTCCTCTCCAGTGAGGGCTTTATACTGACCCTTTAGCTCAAGCAGAGTTTTCACCGCTTTATCAACTTGATCCTAAAAAATAAATTAGAATATCAGGAGAGCTCAAATAAAATCATCTTAAAAAATCAAATCACTTCAAAAATTGAATATTTATTAAACTTGTTAGCAAACAAATTCAAACAAACCTTAGGAGCTTTCTCTGCTTTAAGCCGTCTCAGTTGCTCACCCTGCTGGGCTATGTCTGCAAACAGTGCTTGAGCCTGAGGGGAGGAGCTGGATTGAGGTGGGGTGCTGCTAGACTGTGCAGGGGCGGGACCAGAGGAAGGAGGCACGCCTGGTTTGTATTCCTGTCCAGTTTGCTGTTTGTACTCAGCTTTAAGACTCAGCAACTGCTTCACAGCCACATCTACCTGATCCTGTACAAATATGAACAATTGTTGAATACTACTTAGTTTTTTAAAATATCAAATTTTTAATAATTCTATGACCAAAGCTGAGATAAGTCAAAAACCTTGGGTGCCTTGTCTGTTTTCAGTTTCCTCACAAGTTCTCCTTGTTGAGTGACTCGATCATGAATAGACTTAGGAGAGCTGTCAGAGGAGCCAGACGGCATAAGGGTGGTGGCGGCAGGCAGAGCTGGAGTTGATGGAGAAGCACCAGCGGGGGGAACTCCAGGTTTGTAGTCCTGCCCTGTCAACTGCTTATATTCTGCCTTCAGAGCCAAAAGCTGCTTCACTGCTGCATCAACCTGTTCCTGAGGAGGGGAAAGAAATCATGGTGCTTTACCAACAAGTAAATTACAAATTAAACACAATGTTTCCTGAAATCGCCATAGCAACAAAACAAAAAAAGAAGAAAAAATGGTCCTGTCAAGCAGACAAAAACATGAACATGATGAATAGGACATGTGGCTTTGCATGGTTGAACGACGTACTGCTATTATCACTTAGGGTGCACTCACTTTTGTTGACAGGTATTTTGACAATAATGGCTGTATGTTGAGTTATTTTCAGAGGACAGTAAATCTATACTGATAAACAAGCAGCACACTGACTATAAAATATATCCAAGTTTCATTTCTATAGTATTGTCCCTTGAGAAGATATACTAAAACGGTTGCTGAAATGTAAGGGGTGTACTCACTTTTGTGAGATACTGTATATATATATATATATATATATATCCAGAAGAATAAATTATATTACATAACTTTATATAAATTAAATTATTATTTAAATATAATCATATATAATATAAAGCAATTATTTGAAATATATATATATATTTTTTTTTAAATACTTTTTTAGTGGCTAGCTAAAGATGCATATCTGCAACAGATATTGAGTACTAGAAAACATAAAAAATATGTTAGGGAAAAAAAAGTATTGAGTACTGTATAGGGTGGCCCCAGTGCAAAAACAAAATTCTGAAGGAAATATTAATAACACCATAATCTAAAGCAAGATGTAATTACAGTCTCACTTTTGATGCTTTCTCAGCTTTCAGCTTTCTGACCACCTCCCCCTGTTCAGTCACATGCCCATATATGGCAGTTGGGGAGGCGTCAGATGAAGCGGCGGGCTGTGGAGGAGATGATGTGGGAGGAGCCATGCCTGGTTTGTAGTCTTGACCAGTGAGCTGTTTGAACTCAGCTTTGACAGCCAAGAGCTGTTTTACTGCAGCATCTACTTGCTCCTGTAAAATTAAGATGACATGGTCAACAGTGACACCCCAAAATAAACAACAACAAAAAAAGATGGTACAGTTATAGAAAGACTAAACCCCTAGCATGATGTCTGATCTAAAACCTTGTGAGCTGCCTTACCGTTTACTTCTTAGAGAGGCAGCTACCTTGTTAAAATGCAGGCACATTTATCTCTGCTCTGCAAAATAACATGGGTAAAATCCAATAGGAAATTTCAATAGGAATCTGTCCAATAAGGACGTGAGGCCGGAGAACATTTCACAGGTTCAAGATGGTGATGCGAATTTGCAGCATTGACAGAAGAGATATCTGCTTCATTTGAAAGTGATTTCTATGACAATACACTGTTAAAGTCAGCATTAAATGGAAGTTGCGATATTCTTTTCTTCCGTACTGAGACATATTTGAGTGAAACAAATGTAGGGCGGACTTGATTTTGTCCATTGTGAATTGATTAGATAGTTGGATCATTGTTGTTTGCTATTGCTGTTAGGTTTTTCCACCCTTGCACCAAAAAACACAAACCCAGAAAAGAAATGTCGTTGCAAGATGGAGGGGGAAGTCATTTTGATGAAAGATTACGAGGGTATACGAATAAATCCTTTATGATAAATACTGCAATATTCCACACACAAAAAAACAACAATTGTCAATTGTGATTTCATGGTGATGTTAACAATAGACTTTTTGGCCTGTAAAAGTTCAAACCTGACCGCACCCTAAATGAAGCAGACCCTTATAAGCAACTGAATGACCAACAGACCTTGGGTGCTTTTTCAGCCTTCAGTTTTCTGACCACCTCGCCCTGCTCAGCAACACGAGTGAACGGACAACCGGTGGAGGAAGGCCTCGGACTTCCTGCTGCAGGGGTGGGGGCAGAGCTCTTCGGTCCTGGGGTGGAAGTAGGTGGGGCCATACCAGGTTTGTACTCCTGTCCGGTCAGTTGTTTAAACTCAGACTTCAAGGCCAAGAGCTGCTTTAATGCGGCGTCCACTTGCTCTTTAGGGGCCTTGCCTGTCTTGAGCTGTCTGACCAGGTCTCCCTGAGCCACAATGCTGGAGAATAGAGAGGAAGCGTCTCCTGCTGCTGATGGAGCAGGGCTGGAGACAGGAGCCAGCTTGGCTTTGCTCAGAGGAGCAGACTCAGCCTTCACCTGGAGGAAGAACAATATGAAAAGAGTGATCATTTTGTTCAATGTTTGACTTGTTAGGAGAACAAATGGATCCAATTATGTGCTCACAGGTTTAGCGGCTGTCTGGCTCTTGCTCTTGTCCTTGGAGCCAGCAGTGGGCATCTCTTTTGTGTGTCCGTCTGGGATATAGAGCAGGACACAGGGACTCTCCTTGCAGCTGTGGGGGCTAAATAAATAGATCAAATGAAGTACAGAATTAAAACATAACAGAAAACAAACAGAAAAAATATATTTAAATGTTTATAGTTACAAAAGATTCATAATACTGTGTTAAACAGATTAGAGGTGCAACCTGATTGGCTCATACGGCTGATCACAGATATAGAAACCCCGTCTCTGCAGCTGTATGATGTCACCTTTCTTCAAGTCCTTCAGACAAGGGTCTCCTATCATCTTCTCCTCTATCTGAAAAATAAATAATAATACTACTAGGGGTGACCCGAATAGTCGAAGATTCGATGCTTCGATAGGAGGAGCCTGATTCGACTACCAATCTCACGGTCGAATCTTCGCAGATGTGTTATTAAACGAGGATTATGTCATTTTGGCTATATGAGTGTGCTCAATGTCTGATTTCACATAGAACTACTGGTTTTCTGTCAATACGTTAATATACAGCCTATTATGATAATGCTGTCAATAAAAATGTGCAAAGAAAGAAGCTTTTAATAAATATTTTTTAACGTGCGTGCAGCGTGAATAAATCCAAACACCCCGTGACAGATTTAAGTTTCACTTTCGATCCGTGACCGACAGAGGAGCGTCTTGTCGGCAGGGATTTAAATCTTTAAAAATGTCTGGGATAAGAAAATCTAAAGATGCACACCATCAGAAAGGATATTCTCCAAGGCTGGATTTAGCATCAGGAAAACCATGATCGCACTTCTGCCGGCAAACGTTAACAGGTTGGTTTTCCTCGGGACGTTCAAAACGCTTAATGTGAAAAAAGCTTTTAAAACGCTTAAATGGCACTTTTACGTGCTTAATGTATGTACACAGTAGGCTACACACCTTAAGAAACCATTCCATGTGCAGATAAGCAGATGAACCCAGAATATGAACGCAACGCGTTTCTCCTATAGAAAGTCACGTAAAGCTTTTTCTTAACGGTTTTCTATGGGAGGAAAATGCTTAACGTAGCCTATAATAAAATGCGTTGCGTTCATATTCTGGGCTCATCTGCTTTTCTGTAGGCTATATAGTATGCTTTATTAATAAGGTGTGTACAGAATTTGATCTTTTAATATAACAGTTTTAGGACAAAGCCATTAAGCGTTTTTCACGTTAAGTGTTTTAGAATGTATTTTATCCGCGCACACAATTTGAAAAGACTCAAACGGACACAGGCCGAGTGAAAGACTGGATTTTGTTTTTTCGATCAGGTATACAAGTGATTTCAAAACATTTCAGCCGGTTCTAATTTGATTTTTGGATACTGGGAACACGTTTAGCTAAAAAGACTGCCGCTCCAGTTGAGCGTTTATTGTTGTTTCTGCAGTTAAAAAGACAAAGTTGACAATCCTGGCCATACTTTTGTTATTTTAATAATTTCTTTATTTTTATTTTATTAATTGATCACTCAGGGTGATCTAATTTAACTATTTGTGACTTGTGTTTTGAATATTTGTTCCCCTGCACTTTAGGCATTTTGCACACATTTGTTCTGCTTCTTGTGGCTTCTTTGTATTTTTATTTATTATAAATGTATATTGTGTTCTTAATTGTTGATTATTTTTTTACAGGCAATTCAGCCGATTTAATTTGATTTGCATGTGAAATGCAAATCCTGCTATCTGCAGTGTGGCCTTTCTGCAG